TATCTCTATCTCTATCTCTATCTCTATCTCTATCTCTATCTCTATCATTATCCTCATCTTCATATTTATCCTTATCTTTATTTTTTTCGCTCTAAACAAAAAAAAAATTTGAATTGCACAGTTTATTACATTATGAAATATGACAGTTATGACATCCAGTGAATCCGTTGCTTATTTTTATGAGTTCTCAACATAGTCCAACGCAAAGTTCATATTCTACTTACACATATTCCTGCTGCGAGTGATTCGTCGGACCATCCGGCCATTCGGTGTAACAGACAATCCTTATGCCATCCTTCAGCTCTACTTCGCCGGTTGTGAAAAAGAGCAACATGGGGCACGAGAGGGTAATAGATGCAGCCCAAATAAACGCTGCAATAGCCAAATTACAACGTTTGCTCATGCGCGGTTGCAATGGTTTTATTATGGCCACATATCTGAAATGTAACAAAGCGATAGAAAATGGATGGGAGAAGATGTTGATAAAAGAGAATTTATATAAATTTTCAGAAATTTCAGTTTGTATGTGCATGTTAACATATAGCACCAAAGTCCTGCCACAAAACTGCTAAAGTACATTGTGCTGCTGGACTTGGTCCTACATAAGCTCCATATATATACATTTACGTACATAAATATGTACACATACATACATATGTGTACATGTATATGATTATTCAGCATTGGAGGAGATTTAATGCTATTTGTGTAACACTTTGACGCTGCAACTGCGCTTCACCCTGGTTTGTTAACTCACCTGTCGATGGCTATCGCCATTAGCGTAAACACTGAAGCACTTATGCTTAAAGTCGCTACAAATTGTGATATTTTGCAGTAGAGCTCACCGAAAGGCCAATCATTGTCCAGCATGTAAATGTAATTGAAGGTAACATTGAGACTGGAGACCATGGCATCCGCTATGGAGAGATTCACTGTGAAAATGGAGGTACAGAAATGAGAGCGATATTAAAGGAAATTGTTGGATACATATGAGGATTAATACTTAAGTGATTACTTGTATGCTTATGTGGTCAAAAAGTAATTTCCAGTAATGCGAGGCATGTGCGCATCTTTACTATAAATTTGATTAAAAGTAACAATAAAAAAGCGTAACATGCAATTTATTAAAAATAGAATGGCGGATTATTGCTTGCTACTTTTCTGCGGTACCCTCATACTTTTGTAACATCTAACTTTTGTAGTTTTCCTTAAGTACGTACAAATCGTTACCCTAATATAGAAAGGCCCTATCTCACATCGTCGCTGAAATACAAAAAGCCGTTACTAAACTAAAGTCCAAAATTACCGTTTTGATTGATTATAATGTAACTTATCGCATTATAAGTCCCCACAATAAGAAATTTTAATCAGTTACGACTTTTTTGCATTTCAGCGACTATATGAGTTAGGGCCTTTCTATATATCTGTTACGAATTCTTCCATTCAGGGCATTTACATTTAGACTTTCTAATTGCAAGCTTTATTAGATGATGTTCATAAGATGAAAAGGTGTGTTCTCAAATCAACCGAAGCAAAATTAAGAAAAACAAAACCGCGTATCGTCATTCTGCAAAACCGCGTAACTGAAATTTGCTGCCAAAAATTGAATTTGCGCACACAAGCTCTTGGCTCAATCCAGAAATGCGATTGCTTTATAAAAAAGACAACCATTTTGAAATATGAGTATTTTTCCTCTCTAGAAAATAATTTATGCAACCTCATATACGCGGTTTTGTTCTTTAAACGACGATATGATAGGTATATGGCGAATGTCCTCAAAACTATTACCGCTAAACGTGTTTCAATAATTTACTTAACCTACGTATATATATGTATATTTAAATTGCTACACTTTTAGATAGGTGGCAGCGTTGATCCGGATTAACTCGGACTTAATCCGAATAAATTGCAGTTAATGCCTACTAGTCTCCAACTACCAAAACAGTTATGCAACAGTGAATAAATGACGCTACGATGTACATTGCTGTTTTAAATTCACCAGTTGCTAACATTCAACAAAAAAAAAAAGAATCAACGCGAATAAGTACCAAACTCATTAGAACCACACCAGCTAAATGGATATTAACAAACTCACATCTAAGCAATTTGTGTAACAATCGTAGTTTTGATGCGCTACATAGGCCATTTAACACGCTTGTTAACTACATCCTTAATATGAAAGATATTTTTTTTTCATAGATGCACACATACATAAATATGTACGTATGTAAACGAATATTAATTAAAGTTTTAAACTTTTTTTTCGCGAAAACCACAACACGTCTATGGCGTCTATTTTCAAATGACCATGGGCAAGAAGGGAAAAGGGCAGGAAATATTTATCTGGAGAATAAACGAACAACGCTGTTTACGGTCGTAATCGAGTTGAACTTTTGAAGTGAACAATAAAGAGGCAACCATTTTTTTTTTGTTTTTTTTTGAAAAGTCAGCTTTGCTATGCTTTTTTATAGAAAACGAGCTTTGTGCGTTAATTTGCTGAAATATTCAAGTAAAAGTTCAGAGTATTTGCAAAAATGCCCTTATAATTTTTGTATAAATTTTTGCTAGGTTTGAATCTTATGTCAATTATTCTTAAATACGAAAACCCACTGCTGATCGCCCTCCTTCATCTTCTGTGAATAGTGAAGAAAATAATTACCTAATACGGCGCTCAAAGGTTTTAAGTGGTTCTTTTAGATCATGTACGTTCGATTCTTTACACTGTGAGTTTAATGCAGTTTTTGTAAAAGTTTTTTTTTTTTAATTTCTTTAAAATAACAGGTTTTTTTTTTATTGATTGGCTTATAGGTTCCCATATTTTTGCAAAACAAAAAAATGATAACCCTCCACGACTGAGGGGTGTACAAAGGGGTGCCTTTTTTTCTTTTTTTCTTTTCCTTTATTTCTATTAGAAAACATTAATTCTACCAAGTTATAAAAGCTATTTATATGGTGGCTAGTTTTGAAAAATATTGCCAAATTGTATTAATTTCAACTAAAAACCTTAAATGTTGGAATTTCCTAATTTGTGCGTGCTGGAAATTTAAAAGTGCCTATCTTACGGCACTCAAATTTTACAGGAGAGCGAAAAAAACCTTTTATTCTTTGAAGGCATTGCCTTGATAGGCTGTATTTTGTTTAGATATTATTTTTTAAATTTGTTGTTTTAATAACGATTTAACGATTTTTATGCATAAATTTCGATGCCTGGAGTTCAGGGATACCAAATCTCATTTTCGACACAAACGCGATTTAGGCGGTTTTGCAAAAACATCGTAAGTATGTGCATGAACATATACGACCCTCTATTTAAAAATATTCATATTGAACTATTTTGCAGTGTAAGAAAAAACAAGACGCACACACGCACGCCGCTTTAACAAGATTTCATTTATGGCTGACATGTCTGTCTTCGTTTTTTCCCCTTTAATTTATGCTTCAACAATATATGACTCACCTATGAAGTAATTGGTAACGGTTCGCATTCTTTTCGTTGTCATAACAATCCAAACGACAATTAAATTTCCCCCGGTCGCCACAATAACCATCCCACCGAATAGTATAGACCACAGCACTTGGCGCCACCAGGGTAAAATGAATGAAATGTCATCGTCGCTGTAAAGAGAAAAAAAAACCGGAGGAAGCTGAGTGAAAAGAATAAAAGCAAATAAAAAGGGTTACACACACAATAAGGCAAATAGTAATTGGCGTTACAAATTAACCGCATTCAATGAAATATTTTGTAGAAAGGCGCGTGGGAAAGTGTTAAGCACACATTCGTGGTGTTTACCTATATACGCTTGAATTGTGTGACAGGGCGTGTGTGAGTATTCGCGGACAGCAGCACATTACAGCATCGTATTGCGTAAAAAATTGTTACACGGTGGCTACGCGTCTGTGGTACTCTGTCCACACATAACTTTATAGGTGACCGAAATGAGGACCTGAAATTGCGTGGCTGAAAGCTGAGCAAACAAATAAAGAAACACAAGCGTAAATAATTTTAATGGATTTGATGGTTTCGTGCAAACAACGGCATTTCTCGGCATGCTCGACTTAAACGTAAATGTAAACAAGTGGATGGAATGTGCTTCTTTACACGCATAAATATTTATAAAATTCATAAGCATTATTGGTATGGGGAAGCAAATAAATATACGTGTATGTATGTGTATGTATATGTAAACCTGTGTAGAGATTTGTATACATGAAGTTGAAATTTGCACATAAAAATTATTTGGGCTTTTGTTGTTGTGTCGATTTAGGCTTCAGGGGTTTGTGGCTCGTTTTATATGTTTTGGGCCAACTTCAACTTTTTCATCTTTTACGTAAAAGTTGTTGCTAAAGTGTAAACAAGAGATCTTTATAAAAGTCCTTCGCGGATAATATCCTTATGCTCTTTCAGCGTATAAGGAATATACCAAACCTTTCGTTGTTTAGCCCGAATTAATGGAGACATAAACTATTTAGATTTAAGTTGAATTTTTCGTTTTACTTATGTAATTCAAAGCCTCCTAATAATTTTAGTTTTGTAGTGTACCATGATTGAGCATCCCACATACAGTGACTCAAACAAGTGATTACGTGATATTATTTTGCTTAACATTCATAATTTTTTCCGAGCTAATTTTTTTTTTGCTATTTTTCCATAAAAATATGACAACATGAGCTATAAAATTGCATGCCCAAAAAAGTTCCAAATACTCAGACTATAAAGTTGAAATTTTAATTAAAATTGTTTAAATTTTCCTAAATATTGTATAAAGTTTGAAACTGTGGTTTATATGGTTTCAGTTAAAGCTTGAATTTGGTATTTTGATAGAAAAATAACCAAAAAATTACGAAAAACATTACGAATATTAAAAAAAAATCAACACGTGCTCACTTGTTTGAGTCACTGTGTAAATGTGGTTACAACCAGGTTCTTCGTTTTGTTTATTGATATTACGAAGGTAATGCCGAATTCCTACGAGGCATTGAAATTATAAAAAATTGGAGGCATTTAAAGAATGCCATGTAGAACTGAATTTAATAACAATTTTTTTAACGTAATGACACGAATATTTTTTAGTGCTCAATATTGTCATTTCAATTTTCGGCCATTTAATGCCTAGTGGAGATCCAGCATAATCCTCAGAGGAAACTGAAGAACTTAAAATTCAAAAATCGATCTGTGAGAAGTAAGGGAATTCTTGGCAGAAAAATGTCTTTGGCTTTGCCGCAGCCAGTAATAATGGTAACTTCAATTATAATTGTAAGGTCAGTAACATTGGCAATCAAAACGCGGTATTATTTTGCTTTGCATTTACGATACAAGATGCAGCGAAATGATGGTGATGCCTTCGGTGGTCTGCTAATTCTCTCTTTGCCCATTTATCAGCATTAACCTCTTCGCTGACGTCACAAAAGTATTTTTCGCACTAGTGATGAAAACTAATTTTCATTTTATACCTATTTGCCGAAAAGTTGTACCTAAAGGTAGATAAACCTATCTAAAAAGTAAATATGTATTTTTATGTGCATACATGTTTGATAGTTGGTGGACTACCTCATCCATTGGTAACATAACTACTTGTCTTTGAAAATAAAATAAACTTTTCATTCCAAATTTACCCAAAATAATGTTCTTGTGCCGAATATACGTCCAAATTTTAAGAAACTGAAGAGTAGATAAAATTTTATCTAGTTTTACATGACTATTTCACACCACTTCGATTCTTTCTCTTCTTCTTTGAAATTACACTTTACTCTCTCGTTCAGTCACTTTGATGATGTCACACCCGGTTGCTCTTAGCTCGATCGCCGAAAACTCATATTCTATTAGTAAATACCCGACGTGCTTTACTGGGCCTTAAAAATATTTTTGTGTTGCTACTACCTCCCAAAAGACACATTTTATTTTCAAAAAATTTAGCGTCCCAGTTTTACTTTGGTTGACTGTACGTATTTGTAGCTTTTCATGTGATTGTAATTATTATGTGAACACTCGTGGTGATTACGATAAACCTATCTTAGTTATTTAAGCTAATAAAATGCAAGACCTATATTGCATATTTTTTATTCCATATTTTTAGGTTTTAGTGACATATTTCATATCCATAAAATTAAGTTTTAGCAGCATAATTTGTGTTGCCTTATTAATCATCCTAGGTATACATTTTCGGCAGATAAATCACGTAAACACATATACAGTATAAAAAAAAAAAAAAAATTGTTTTAATAAATCGTAAATAGAATTGAATTGGCAATTTTATTGCGGCTTTAAATATTCACAAAGCTTTAAAATTCTTGGAATAGAATTTTTCGCAGTAAGTTTAGCCGCCGACACTGCTTTCCCTCAAATCAAGGCGAATAAATTACTTTTTGTTGCTTAATAAAAACGCATAGCCCAAAGAAAAATTTAGCAGACACTGGAAAACTGTATGCAAAATAAAATAAAGAAAAAATAGAAAAACAAATACAGTATTTCATGAGACTATGCCAGCGTATTGCGCGGCGTAAACCGGACAACCGAGCAGACATACAAAAGTGCACTGTAGAAAAATAAATGTTTCACTGTGATTTAATGGCAATTAATGTTCTAGTCAAAATCGATTGAGTAGCACTTTGCATATCAAAAGTAGATACATACATACATACGTCATCATAGATACTTAATTAGGTGCAAACGCATTTGTAATATCTAACACCCAGTAAATACATACAGGCAATGTGATGGAGTAGGATTTTAAAAGTTGGAATTGAGTTTATCCCATTTTCTACACGTGAAAGCACCAACAGTACAAATAATGAAGTACCCGTAGGTCAGTAAGCAAGATATCGATGTGCTATAATAATTCGCAATATTAATCTAATTGCACTGCGTTAAGATTACTTGGGTTTTAAATTTATTTCTCTTTATATTTGTGCAAAGGTGTCTACAACGGCCAACGAAAGTTAAATCGAAAACTTAAACGCTGCCGTAGCGATAGGCCTATTCATTAAAACTGGTGGAATCGGTAGTAATAAATCATTAAAAATACAAATAATAACAATAGGAAAGGAAGCGTACATTTAATTGGTTTATGCCAGAAAATGTGGGGTGAAGAAAAATATTCGAAGGATTTGCACAATCAATGTGGATTTGATGCGTTCTAGCCAACTGCCCCTCAATCGATGCCGCAAAAAAAAAACTAGCAAACAAATGCTTTAGAGGATATTTTCACATTTACCCTACGTTTTTTTTTGGTAGACGCCTTTTGCTCCTTTTTTCATATTTCTTGAACGAGCAAGTTTCTTTTAAATCCTAAATCCGGCTGCCAATCACTTTGTTTATGATTGCGCTACCTTCAATATGTCAAAGTGTTTGCTTTTGCACTCAGCGTTATTTGGTTTTCGGTGTTTATTTTTGGTTTTTCTCTTTTGTTCCATACTGCTTTTTTTTCGAGAAGAAATTAATGAAAGAGCGTATCTACTCTACGAATGTAGATAACAAAATCAGTAGCACATTCGCGAATTTATTTATTTACTCACATATTTCTTTGCGTTTCGTGCATACCAAAGTAAATAGAATGGAGAGTAAAGCTTCAATATATTTAAGTAGCATAAAATTGTTTGAGTAATGGGTGCAAAGCGGCGAAGAATTTGAGACGAGTTGGAATGGTTTAAAATAGATTCTTAACTGTATGAAATACTCTTCATTAAAAAAATAATCCAACGGTAGTGATATTGGTTGGTTGGTTTTGACTGTTGAAAAGTGGGATTGTTTGGATTTTTTTTTATTGAGCCGACTGAACTTATTATCAATAAAAATTTGCAGACAACAACACTCTGTGCTTGCCAAAATGTACAAGTCTTTACAAAAGTATAAATCGTGTGTTCCCTGGTTAAGAACCCTTCAGTATTCGTCTAAAGCAGCGATGGGCAGAGAGAGCTTCTGCACGCGCCTATACAAAATGTATGGAAAGCTTAAGAGAGCTTTGCCAGCGGGCAAGGCAGTGCCCACTACCGATCTAAAGCAACTCTGTAAAAGTTGTGTTCAGTTAAGTTAGGTGTTAGGGTTAGCAGTCAGTCCAAAAGCCCAAACTAACTTATGCCCTCATTGACTATTTTCCATGGGAGCATTTTGAAGCTCTTATGAAGCGTAGGATTGGTTTTATTCCAAAGGTCTACTCTTCTCTTAGCTGAAGCTGGGCAACTGCAGAATAAGTGTTTGACTATTTCATATCTTCCTCTTCCTCACCTCTGCAACTTCTACAAAATTAACGGAAGTATACTCCTAATCTCGAAGTGTGCCTACCAAATAGCCAATGACCGGTTACAGAGGCCATGACCTTCAAACTGTCCTCTCTCCGGAGGCTGAGCAGTTCTTCTGCTCTTTCTTTCCGATTTGCGGCCATAGTTGTCTCTAACATGACCTATCGGGGTATTCGATAATTCCACTTGTAATCCTTAATTTGAAGGTGGCCATGTGTGTCCAAATTTTACCTAAATTTTCACGCAGTCGAAGGTTGGAACCTTTCCTGGCTAGCTTATCGGCCCTGTAATTTTCTGCAATATCTTTATGTCCCGGGACCCATATGAGGCTGACCATGAAGACGGTGCTAATGTCATTTACGGCTGCCAGGCATTCCTGTGCATATTAGCATTACTGCCTTCATTGATTTGATGGCCGCGTTACTGTCTGTTACGGTGTGTGTTTTAAGGTACATAGCCACCTGGAGCCTGTCTAAAGCGTGTTCAGGGCGGGAATAGTCGATTCCTTGGTTATAATAACCCATAGTGTGAAGTATAGAGGCGTCCAGTATTCATACATTCTCGTGGCTTTAGCCCTGTCGTACAGTGTCTTATTATATTCTCGTAACGAGGATAACTGCTTTGTCCACCAAGGTGATTTTGTTTTCCCTGTGTATTGAACAATAGGACATCCGGCTGCTAAGGAAATATCCACGGCTTTAGTCACGGCGAGATATCTTTGGCATAAAGTCCGCACTTCATTATTAAAGTGTTCATTTAGTAAGTATCTAAATTAAAGTTGTCCAGCGAGAGCTTTCATTTTATGCTTGCCCTATATAAATTGTACAGAGAGCTTTTAAAAGCTTTGACACGCGTGCCTATGAAGTATCCAACTGTGATCTAAATATGTACGTATATAGCAGTGATGGGCAGAGAGATCTTTTACTCTGCACGCGCCTACACAAAATGTATAGAAAGCTTAGAAGAGCTTTCCCCTCCGCCAAGGCAGCACCCATCACCGGTACATAGGCATTCACATTAATCCGGTTTTCTAAGCTTTAAAATGACTTGAATTAAAGCGCCCCAACACAAATATATATAAGTGTAAACATGATCTTATATCCAAGTATAGATATGTATGTACATAAATGAAAAGATTAATTTGAAATTCAAAGCTTATATAAATTTAGCCATTAACTTGTTACTTAAATTTCGTTGTAGCACCTGTAGACAACATTTTCGGCAATGTCTTGAAAGAAAAGCAGGATTCTGAGTTGTGTCATTTCAAATTTAAAGAACATATGTTTTTACAAGATCACACAGTTTAGCACACTAGGTTGCGGCAAGCCAGTCATGCAAATGTTACAATTAAGCCCAGCAGGGCGTGTTTAATATGTCACTGCCGAGGATACTCACAGCCACTCCATACGAAAATCCAAGCAAGCAAACCTGCGAAAATTTGTGCTAGCGCATACATATGTATATAACCGTACGTATAGGGTGATTCAAGGAATATGCAGGTCCTTGACAGCAATTGATTTTGATATTTTTTTACTCTTATTTTTTCCAGACAATTGGGACTACAGGCTTTTGCAAACTTTTTCATGGAGCGACACTCAGTTGAACAATTTCTAAAAGTGAGCCAAACTTTTTATGCATAATTTTTTTTACGGACAACTTTACCAGCCATACGAGTCAAAACTCAGACGTTTGTTGCTGGAACAGGTCGTTTGGCCTATGCAAAAAAGCGGAGACGATTCCAGAGATGTAGAACGAAATCATGCGTATCCTGTTTTGCTACATAGAATAAAAAACATAATGAAATAAAAACGAATCATTTCGAAAAATGTTTTTATGTTTTAATTATAGAGGAAAATCTTCGGGCTTATTGAAGCACCCTATACGTGTGTATTTAGTATGTAGTGAGCACCTGCATATTTTCACGTTTATATAGCCGTGAGATTACCAACACACAGATTTGTGGCATTGAGTTGGTTGGCTGGCTACCTGCGAATGAAACGAAGCACTTTAAACGCAACTGTCTACAGCCTGGAAACTTTTTTAAGCTTTAAAGTGAAGTTCAGGATTTTTTAAGGCAATTTTTAGTAAATCTTTATCATCTCATTATCAGAGGGTTGCTTTCAGTAGCATTTTTAAGAAATTTGGTTTGACCATTTATTGTTAAGGCTTTCTTTTGATTGGATTATCGGTTGAATAAAAGTGGAAATTGTGTAGATGGCAAAATAGGCACTAATCGAATACTTTGTCGCACAATTTAAAATTCAAGAAAATTCGTTTGTAAGCTGCAAGCAAAATTTCCTGATTTACTTGTATTCTGATTTATGTAAGTATTTAATATTTTTTGCTTTACTGCACCGTTTTGCCCTATTGTGTTACGCGCATTTGGCTGCCAAGTAATTTGCATATTATTGCGGTGAATGCCACAATAATTGGAAGGGATTGCTTACTGCTGAATTGCGTTTTCTGTCAAATCAATTTAAGTATATGCACAATGATGGTAATTTTTGAGATAAAATATTAAATATTATTTAAGCTATGTTATATGTTTATTTGCATGTCTCATCTAAAGAAAATATTTGCATTGAAATCATACAATTTCACTTTAACCAAAATATTCACCATACAAAGTTTGTCTTTGTGCGTATTCTGGAGATTTTTTTTATTCCAGTCGGCAATAAACTCTTATGTTGATCCCTTTTCCCTAAGATATATGTGTGAACAGGGGTATACTCTGAGTCTTGCAAAGGACTTGCACGGTGCATAAAATGCTTGGATTCCACTGTAAAAAGCGGGTTTTGAGGTGAATTGTCTCTGCGCTCGGTTGGGCTGCAATTCCAAATTCCCAACTCCAGTGAAATGAAAAATCGACTGAAGTAGGGGCGATGAATGCCATTATAAAATTGAGATTAATAATAAGATTACGATTAAGATTAGGACTCGCATTAAGATTAAATGAAAGAGTAAGATTTAGATTAGGACAGGGATTAAGACTAATATTAAGACTTAGGGCAGGTTTCTCCGACTTAACTTAACTTAGTTAAGTGAATTTTTTGGACTAGGTCATGAATAAGCTGAATAAAAAGTAGGCCAGATTTTGACTTATGTCCAAAAAGTGGCTTAACTAAGTTAAGTTGAGTGCGAGAAACCAGACCTTAGACTAAGAGTGTGACTAAGACTTACGAAGAAAAATACTCATTTATTCTGGTGGGCTATACAGTTAGTAGAACGAAAAAGTTTCACGCATGATTTTATGATTTCTTTTTTTACTTAAGATCGCTTAAAAATTTGTTTTTTTTAACATAATTGTATAAAGCTCTAGGATTCATAGTGTACTGGG